TGTCAGGAGATACGCCAGAAGCATTGCCCGAAATAATGCCTGAAGATATGCTGGACAGAATGCCGGAAAGGATGTCAGAATATATGCCGGGTAGAATGCCAGCAAGGATGTCATAAGGTATGTCAGTTAGAATGTCGGTATGTTTGCCATGTGTGTATATATGTTGTATATGCCAAACCTTTTGCCTGAGCGGATGTCGGAACAAGTGGCAGGGTTGATGGCAGAATATGGCAGAATAAGTTGCCGAAGACATGGCAGAACACATGCCAGAACACATCAGAACGGAAGTTGGATCATATGTCACAACACATGTAAAATTTCACGGCAGGACACATGTCAAGTTACATGCCAACAGGACGTCAGAACACAGTTATTTTTCCAGCCTTTATGATAGATGATGTGTCAGAACACATACGTACCAGAGAGAGTGCCAGAACATTGTAGCCGCAGCAAAGCAGCCTCAGTGGCAGACTATACACACAACAGCAGCAGCAGCAGCAGTAGCAAAACTGGTAGTACCACCAGTCTCAGTGGGAGCAACGACAGGCTAAGAGAGAGAGAGAAAGAAAGAAAGAAAGAGTACACGCGAGACGAAGATGGCAGCCGCATTGCCCCAAACTTTCTGACCAGACAAGAAGAATTCTTCAAAAAGCTCAAGGAGAGTGTGAGGGTGGACAGAGGAGATAGCACAGCTCAAGCAGCAAGCAGCGGCAGCGGCCCCCGTGGATCCTGGGCATGATGATGGAGCATCGAGCTGAAGTCGAGTCTGGGCTGAAATCTCAACGAGAGCAGTTGGAACAGAACAAAGGGAGTGGCCAGCTTACCTGGAGAAGCAACTGCGGGATCACCAGAGGCAGGACCAGATCGACTCCAGGTAGGCTCATCTCGTGGTGGAACAGTGGCCCAAGTGTCCAAGTGCACATCGGACTCAGATGCTTCAGCCAGCTTCCTCAGTTAGTTTGTGATCGTTTCTGGAGTGCCTTTTAAGTTACCTTTTACAGGCCCTTGACCTCACACCAGGGGATCAAATGAACCAGCATGGGGAATTTATTTGGGTTTCCTTCCAGTGGAGGGCTGGGTTGAAATTGGACGTGTTGCTTGCGTTTGGGTGAGTGGTGTTCAATACCTGCGACAGTCCAAACAACTTAAATTTATAAAGGCTTAAAATACGACATGAAACAACTATTTGGAGACTTCGGGAGGGTCAACACTTTCATCTCATGGATCCACATACCCTCTGAGCTGTTCAACATTTCTTTTTCAGCCCATTGTGAGGGTCCAGCCCTAAAGAACCTGAGAAGGTATGTAGATCTTTAGGGACCTCCATAGTTAGTTCAGTTCTCAGTTTGATGTTCTAAGAACCACGAAGCGGGACAAGTATATAGAGGGAATCCACTTGTTGATGGACTGGGACTAATCCAACCCATTGGAAGACATGTGGAAGAAGGTGTTTTTTTCCGTTCAGATCGTGACAACAAAGATCCCCATGGGTTGCATGTCCTTCTTCCAACCGGACCGCTGTCAACCGCGCCAGCGCCAGCAGCGTAGGATGGGGGTCCCTACACCGTCCTTCGTGAATGCGGGCGATGGGCTCTTTACCCACCCCATCGGCGAGTTCGTGGGGGGTTCTCGGCTCGGCCAGTTCGCGTCGCAGGGGGTTCTTGGCCAGTTCACCTGGTGTACCACGCTGTCCAGGTGGACGACCGTTTTTTCTTTTGGGTAAGCCTTGGTTGTTGGTTAGTGAAACAAAAATGAGTACAAGTAAACAGTAATTAGATATAGGAGGGTCCAGGTACAGGTACAAGGGTCTAGGTCAAGAGCATGTTCGAATTGGTGTGATGTTGAAAGTGCGTGTTTGTGTGGGTTGCGTCACAAAACCTAGTTGAAGGTTTAGGTTTTGATCCATACCGTGCAGAGGGGGGAGTTGACTTTCACAGAGATGCCCTCTTGCGGTTGACTTTTCTTACTCACCCTCCAACAATCATGAAAGCTGACCAGGACCCGCTTTTGCCGCTGTTGAGGAAAATGGTCTGCCACGGGCCTGCATTGCACTTCCATGACTCTTTCAGGGAGCTGAACACTTTAGAACTTTCCAAACCAAACCTATCAGTGATTGCTTCTTGCGGCCGAAACATGCCGAAACTGTCCGTCAAGTGGCTCTCAGTGAGATCCAAGTGGGGTCCGTGCTTCTCGGAGGTTTCATGCCATGCATTTCACGCACAAACTTTACAGAAAAACATCAAATTTGATATAGGTATTTGCTGGTTCCTTGGACCATCAGCCATCGCCCCAGTGAAGGAACGTGAAGATCCTTTTTGTTGAGGGTATCAGGAATGAAATGAATGGAACACTCAGCAGAATTCCATGCACATCACAGGTTATGTTTGTTATATTATTTGTTCAAGCAAAGCTGCCATTCCCCGGAATAAATATATCAAAACTCCTACATCGCCTTCTTCTTCTTCACCTTCTTCACTGAAGCTCCACCTTCTTCACCGGCGCCGAATGCGTGAACCGTTTCCATTCGTTCCACTGGGCCAGACGGTCCGGCTCTCTCCGTTGTGGGTTCCAGAGTTACCCTCATTCTCTCCTGGCACAGACACGACTGGTTTGGGACATGCCTAGGGGTCACAGGTCGGGGTGGTTTTGAGTCTACGGCCGGTCCCAGTTGCACCCAACTGCATGGAACACATGGAACACCTGGTGCATATATTGTGCCTACCGTGGCCCCAAGTCCACCACCCTGGCCTGATCGGTTTTGTTTTTCCAGTCCCAGTCCCGGTCGTGTCTGGGTAGAAGTGAAGCTGTTAGCTGCTGGAAACGGCGCGTTTCTTCAAAGTGTTTTCTTGGTTGGCGCTGGTGTTCATTGGTGGGTCTCAGGTGGATATCTTTTCATTGTTGGAGCACAACAAGTGGGACCGCTCGGCAGGGAAGCTCAAGACTTGGACTGGGGTTAGACAAGAATGCTCATGGGTTTAAAACGGGCTCATGGGTTAACAACAGGTCCTTGGGCTCAAAAAGCCAAACCCTAGGATTGAAGAAAGTTTGTTCCTAGAATTGACCCATCCTGAACCCTTGAAAGTGCAATAATTTCTTTACGTTTGGAATTTCTATCCTTTTGGGCCGTTTGGAACACTTCAATGCCAATCTAAACGATTCAAGCCAAAACTGAACACTCCAAAGCAAAACTTGACGCTTTCTTAAATGACTCCCACCAACAAGCACATCTATGCTTGGTGCATGATCACCTATGTACGAATCTTTGAGCCATACGAGGAGTTGATCAAGAGTTGTACGATACAATTTCATGACTTTGGCTCTTTGAGTGTGTAGCACACTTCTAGCTAATTGCCACCCTAGGTACTTGTCAACCTACAGGATATGGTGGAACTTCGAGATTGCCATATGTGGCACGCATTCACACTAGTTTGGTCAAATCTTCTCATGATGGCAGGCCACCAAATGGCTAAGTTAGATACTGCAAAGAAATCCAATGTTGTGCACTCTTGCGGGGTTTTGCGTACTTTTTGCGGATATTTGCGTATTCTTAGTGGATATTTGCGTACGCTTCTTTTGTGGTTGTGACGTATGAAATATATTTTAGTATTGTTTCCACACCAAAACACATGCATATGGCATGTGGGGTTTCATTTGGCAGCTCATTGACAGATCATGATGGATCTAAATAAATATGCCAACAAAACAACAAGTTAGGTGTCAAAATCTGTGACATGATGGACTGATGGACAGGTGTAAACGGAATTGATAAACATGGATTTGCACATCTATCGTCGATCGTGTTTCTTAAGAGGTGATTGTACAATGCAGATCATGCGTATCTTAAAGCCAAGCATGAAGTGGTGAAGAATCTGCTCTTGATATATGATCTTGTCCTCCACTCAGTGATTTCTTCACGTTTGGACCAACTGGAACATTCAGCCCACTTTTCAAGGTTTGCGGCTTTTTGCGTCCTTTTGCGTTCACAAACCCAACAGTTCAAAAATTAGTAAACTCTTGAGGGTCCAGGATGGGTTGATTTGAACATAATTTTTGACAAGGTCGGCCAGTATTTTTGGGAATGGGCTTGGCAGTCTCCCCTTTCGGATGGTCCGATGGTCTCTAATTCAATCACATCATCCATGTGCTTTTTCGGAATGGCCTGGCAAGAAAGGCACCTCCATCCCTTGTAGTTCCACAATGTTTGCTTGAAACACATGACATAATGGTGTTGCATGATGGAATGAAAGTATGTTACGTCCTTACTTTGCAATTTTTTTCAATCTGCTGCTGCCCGTAGTTTTCACTTTCCGGAAGACCTCCGACACGACCCAACCCCGTCCATTTTCTACCTCAGCGTCACTGGCATCCCAACCTTGCTAATCAGGAACTGTTTATTCGAACCAATTTCTCTTGCACTCCTGGCACTGGCAGTGTTACCTTTGTTTTCTGCACCGGTTGGAACTTGAGGTCCGCCCCTCACTGGCCCACGTTCAAAGTCGGGGACACGGTCATAATTTATAATAAAGTTAGGCCGGGAAGTGTATGATCAGCCCATTATGGTGACATGATCAGGGCAACTATTTGTTGACGTTCCCTTGAAGTGCAGATTGTGTGGCAGGTGCAGCACTTTGGGAACGTTGAGGTGCAGATTTCGTGGCAGTTGCAGCACTTTGTGGAGGCTAAGATATAACATTATATGATCACTGATCGCCGATAATAAACAATCATTAATTAAAGTTCTGGCGTGAGGTATATATAGAAAAGAAAGCCCCCGGAGTTCATTGCTGTAGTCTGGGCCAGGATTGACTGATGACTAAACTCGTCTGACAATGAGTGGTTCAAAACCCAGGCTGCAGACGAAGAAGCCCTACCGTTCAAGACGGTTTTCGCGGCCGAGTCAGCGGGGTTACGCCGGGTATCTCACCCGAATGCGCCAAGAACGGTCGTGGAACGGTGTCGTGAACGGGATCAGATCTGGCTTGCAACGCTTGCTTCCGAGCATGACGATTTATGACGCTGGTCATGGCTCGTTCTCCGGCAGGAATCAGCAGAGTTTTCAGGATGCTGAATCTTTGAGTAAGGTGCTTTCTGAGGAGGACTTCGAGCCATTGCAAGACCTTATGTACCATGACCACCGAATCAATTCAGACGAGGACCGCAATGATCTACCAGAAGAGATTGCATTCAACCCAGATGACATTCCACATCTCAAGGTTATATATTGAACTTACCCGGCACAGCAGTACGCATACCCGATACAAGTCTATCTCCTGCATGTGGTGTAGCCACACTTGCTACAAACATTTCTATGCGAGATCGGAAATGCCCAATCTTCACTTCAAGGTCCACATAGTGTTGCCCCGGCCACAAAGTCTGCGCTTCAAGGTTTACAAAGTGTTTCCTGCCACGAAATCTGCACTGAGATCCACAAAGCCCGCCTGCCACGAAGTCTCCTTCCTGTTCAAGGCCCACAAAGTCCCGCAACTGCCGCAAAATCTGCACTTGAGGGTTTCATTACAAGATATATCAAGATATTTCAAGTGGTCTGACAGTCGCCAGTGACATGCTTGACTTGACTACCAGGTTCCCATTTGGTAGACAGCTAACTGTTACATCAAAGTTACCTGATCTCGCATATGCAGGTCACCTTCAGATTTACGGTATTTATTGTGATTTTGTTAATTTACATCCATTTACATGCATTTTTAGTATTGTTTTAAATCTGTTTGAACACTTCCGGATAGAGGGTGGTATTGGTGGTCCAAGTGCTGGTTTTTGGGCAATCAAGCTTGCAAGGCGGTGCATTTGGCGTTGGTGGGGGATCTGGCGCACGGACGCACCGCACATAGCAAGGCGAGAGGGGGATGGTGCTCGGGCATTCGTTTGTTTTTTATTCCAAGTCACACATGTTTCATTTGTGGGAGCTGTGTTGGTTGTTCCAAGTCTTCGAACGCAGGTGTGCCCCTCGTTTTCTGTCGCACCAGGTGCACTATGATGCACTTATGGTGCACTTATCACCATGGACCAGAAGATATTGAATACTAGAAAAACAAATTAGTTTAGTATTGGGGGGGTCGAGCTGGGATTGATTAATAGGGGGTGGTTACTTAATCCTATGTCGACATTAGAGTACGTAGAGATCTTGTAGTTTAGCCTTCGGAAGGCCCACCAATGGCCCAAGAACAGGTACGATTCTATACATATACCATGGGCTCGTACATGCTCGTACCCTACATAAGACATGAACCAAACGAATCACACCAGGTCCGTCCTGTTTGGATGTCCAATGGACTAGTTAGAGATGTCCATTGGACACCCATTGGATGGTGCAGGCAGGTATTGTACTCATTGAGCGAGGTTTGTACACTGAATATCCAGGTGTGGCTTGGGGTACAAGAATGGCGGCCAGGCAGACACTATTGGGACTTCGGTGGACAAAGAGTATACAGATGTTTTTTGTTCAACCCCCAGCCACGGACCATTCAAAGAACAGCCCTGATGGGCCCTGGGTGAAAATCTGTTTGCTAGCTATAGGTCTTGAGAAATCCATTCAGCTTCTGGAACCATTTCCGGAAAAACAAAATGGCTGGGTGCAGTCTTGTTTGGAACAAAATGGCTGGGTGCAGTCTTGTTTGGAGCAAGACCAGTGTCTCGATATGTGATGTTTTATTTCTTTTCGCATGGTGTGGTGTGTGTATGGCAATGTGTGTGTGTGCGCCTGGACCCGACGACTCGTTCTTACCCTAGAATATGGGACCTGACCGACTGTACGACTCATTTTCCGAGGTACGAATAGGTCGACTATACCTGGAGTCTCACAGTTTGCAAAGTTCTGCGGACAATGGGTAGAGTAGAGTCATGTTCTTTTTGTTCGGGCCATGTCTCATGTTCTAAGGTACTTTCAGGGGTCCAGGCAGGTGTGTGTGATGTCGCATGCTACGAAGCAGTGATCCGAAGCGTATGGTAGGTCCAAGGGCTCAAGATTTTCAAGAAGGCTGGGCCGGCCGGCTGCTGGGGCAATGGGAAAGACTCTCAGTGGGCTTCGCGACTTGGTGGGTTTGTGTTTGGTGTTTAACTTGACACATATTGACATATTGGGCAAATATAGCTTTAAATAGCATCCAACGTTGAGTTCGCCACTTGGAGTCTCTCCTCCGCCTCGACTCCAGGTGCGAGTGGATTTGGTGGCGCCCGAAATCTTCGGCTACCCCGTGGAGTACACCGATAGGCAGAAACGCCGGGTGAGCCGAGTCCATCTGTCGACCTGGAACGAGCCCAACCTCAGAAAATGGGTGCTGTACCTATACCCGGTTGTTTTATGTTGTTTGAAGAAGCATGTCCCAGGGTACTTGGGAGGGTGGCAGATACAAGGTTGGCCTCTTGGGCTTCACCAAGGCTACCCATAATAGTGACACCTCCAGTCTCCAGTGGGAAAAAACACGAAGAACTGGGCTTCTTTTGCCAGGATCATCTTCCAGAGCCAAGTACATGGTTACCAGTTTTTGTTCCCATCGTTTTGGATTTTACTTTCTTTGTGCCCTATGATGAAACAATTTAAAAAAAGCCACATAGGTACTTTCCTGCAGGGATGGTTTTGTATATACCCTCGCTTCGGCTCCTCGTCCCCCTGGGTCACCGGCCACACCGGCCCCGGGTCGGCCACGTCGGCGCAGGATGCGCGAGGCAGGCTTCGAAGTGAGGTGTTTCGGCTCCGTGGAGGACGGCAGCGCAGACCGCGCGTCGTGGGAGCGGTGCGCGGTGCGGTCAGATGTGGTCAGGATCAGGTTTGGGAGGTCGTTTTCAAGTCAGATCTTCCATGCAGATGTCCTGCCAAACTTGGGTTGATGATGTGGATGTTAAAGGCAGATTACAGAAGTATTGCACAGTTAGAAGATTTTGTTGGGTCTCTACCATGGTCGGCCTTTCACCTTTTCTCGGAGTTTGCTTTCCCCACTATAACCCGATGTTTTTCCAGGAAAACTGAGGGAACCCAGCCACTTTGACGGTGGGTTTGTTTCACGTTTCCACGCATTCAGCCGGGGGGATCCACAACAACGAAGCGCAGAGTCCTCCATGTGCTGAGTCCTCCAAGTGCACCATGCTTTCCATCCCGAGATGTTTAACCCGGTGTTGTGGGTCGGATGTGATTTCCCTATTGGAGAATCCCTTTTTGTGGGAAATATATGTTAGGTTTGCCCAGTTACGGTTGACATGCATGTGGGTAAACACCTTTGTGTAAGCTTTTATGCATTAAAGCGCTAGCAGTCAGAACAAGTATAACTACTTGGAACATCCAAGATGTTTTTGCTTTTGTGTGATGGTTGCTGAATGCCAAACTTTTGTAACTGTGTTTTCAGGATGACAACCAACACTGCCGCAAGATTCCCAGCAGGAAATAACACACATCAAGGAGGCCCGTTCACGGTGGTGCTGTATACCAGGTGTTTTGGAAGAAATCAACGGTATCTCGACCATTGCGACAGATGGACACAGAACGCAGGAGTACTTGGAAAGAGCTGGAGATGTCGCGGACGTTTGGTGCCACCACCAAACCTCCCGTTCGTTTGGATCCTGGCATGAGTGGACTGGACTCACAACAGAAATCTTTGGAACATGACCCTCGAAAGCTTACTTGGAGGGTCGGGGCTTCTGAGGTTCTTGAGGTTGAAGCCTTTCCCGCAAAAGGCTTTGTGAACAAAGGCTTTGTGGGACCGGGAGGGATTTCTGAATTCACTGGGATGAGCTGGCGAGCTGAGGATGGTGGCATCCCTGAAGGGGATGAGCTGGTTGAGTAAACGTTTCCGCAACGACTTAGTTTGCCGGAGGCCAGAGGGGCTTCGGAACATACCTTGTATCCAAGTGCTCACTGCACCCTCATATATATACTTTGTGTTTTCATTCTCACAGCCATGGTTTTGGACATCAAAGATCTAGCAGTTGCTTCGGGTCCATGAGCCTTTGGTGAGTACAGGTTCCACTTCTTGGGGATTATCCTTATATACTAGATATTACTAGATAGATTGCACATGGAAACTCTCCTTCCACCTTCGACCTTGGACCTTCGACCTTCTCGATTCTCCTTCTCCACCAGGTACTTCTACAAGCCTCAATTCTCCAAGTGTGGGGCTCGCACCCCAGCTTCGCTTCGCTTCGGCCCGGAACGAAGCCACGGCCAGGAACGAAAACGATGCGGAAGGAACCGCTGAAAACGGATGAGTTGTTCAGCGGTCCAGCATGTAGCGAAAGACCAACACCAGGTAGGTCAACGGTATCCGGGTGCCATGACGAAAGAGCCAGGGGAGTAGAAGTTTCTCATGTCGATGTGATTGATTTGGAGTCTCAAGAGTGACAATGTGAATAGCTGCACCGCCCAAAGCTTTTCTTATAGAATTCCCTGACATGATATTTCCCATCCTATTGCCAATAGCCCTTTGGGTGGTCCTGGTTTTTGATGTCCTGTCATTTAGGGGACTTGAGAGGTTCGGGAGGGTGCCTAAAGATCGATCATTGGAAGACAAGTCGTCCACCTTTTTGAAGGTGGCAGTTGCTTTTGAGGTGTGGCAGTTGCTTGTCAGTCAAACTCAACCGTACCACGCTAGCTCAGTCGAACTCGCTAGCTTGGCATCCAGTGCCAGTGGGTTCGATAAGTAGGAGCAAACCTGATAAGACATCGTAAAACCATGTAAAACTCTAGAGTATCACAGCACCCTCTTAATAGTATAGCATCAGTATGAGTCTCGTAGGTTCATGATGCTTTAGAGGAATTTATAGGGGAATGAATATCAGTTGGAAAGGCCAAAAGGGATCGACATGATGCTCAAAACCTTGATGTTATGCTCGCAGGCCTCCAAACACCTAAGGCACCTATTAATACCTCACCATGCAACCTGATGTTCTCAGCCGTTTTTGCCCGCGGGGGTGCGAGCCCGTCGCCTTTCCTGCCCGATGCTGTGGTTGCGCGAGCGTCTAGAAGGAAGCAAGCAGAGTCTTTTGGTGAATGGCTCCTTGGACACCGAACTGCCGGAACCAAGCGCACGAAAGCAGGAATCATTACCCCACAAGTCAAAGACCTCATTTTACTGGAGACGGTCATACAAAGCCAATACTTAAGGAGGTAAAAGACCAGGTTTTACTGGGTCTCTGGACTTGCAGGGTTAGTATTTGAAGCTTGAAAGCAGCACCCACAGTTCTGGAGGAGGTGCCTCGGAAGAGAGAAGTCAGGTCGCTTCGTGATTTGATCCGCGCCAGAGCCCTCAAGCAGTCTAGTCTAGTTCGGACAAGTCCCCTTCACAGCAGCTAGGTGTGGGATAAGGATGATGGGGACATAGTTAGATGCTTGCCGCAAACTAAAAGGGAAACACTCAAAGAAGATGAAGCTGATTGAAGATGGCTGCATTTAGAATTGATTGCAGGCTGATCGAAGAGTGAAGAGTCCTCTCAAAATTCCAAGGGTCATCTACTTGGATGAGCTGGCAAACGAGTAGAAGTGGTTGATACTTTTATGCAGCTTCTCAACCTCGTGCCAATACGATTGTACACATATAGCCCACATTAATCTATTTCAGCTCTCCGCCATAGAGTCTCATACCTAGAGGAACCGTTGGCAGAATTTTTTGCCGAGGCACCATTGTGCCCTGATTTCAGCCAAATTCATCGAAAAGCGCCGAATCCAAAAAATAACGCCGAGCAATATGAAAACTGCCGACTTTAATGGTTTTCATTTGCTAGATTCTCAAACCAGCACTTGCCAGATCTTGCCAGTCTTACCAAGCCCTTCCCCGCCCCTTTCCCAAGCCAAACCACAGGGTGACCATCCACAGTTTGGGCTTACATATGAGAACCGAGGGATTGGCATCCACAGTTTGGATACCTTGGAATCCTTGCACCTGGGGAAAGAGATAGTTAATCCACAGTTTGGGAGTGCTTACAGAGAACACACTTGAAAGATCCAACAATGTTTGCCTAAGTGCATGCCTTGTCTTCCGGACGTTCTTGATATTTCCCCTAGGGCTTTCTTGAAAGGCCAATCCAGGCAAGCAAAGTTCTGTTTTTGCTTCTCCGGATCACTCTCCAAAGAATGCGTTGCCGCTTCACCCTTTCATGATCCAACCTCCCTTGACAAGGGTGGCTGTAGAACAGCTGCAACTATTGGGCCAACAACAATGTTCTTTCCAGTGCAGCCATCCAAGATGTTGATTCTTATATAGGAAACCCCGACTAAGCAAAAACATGGTTACGGACAATTGCGCGAATTGTCGGGCAATTACGCCGAATTATCGGAGATTTACGCCGAATTATCGGGCAATTACGCCGAGATCTAGGGATGACAAAACTTTGGAAAACTGCGAACAACTTGACTGCCACGATTTCACTCGAGGGTGCCCGGTTGGTTCACGGTGAGTTTATGTTGAATTATGCATGGTCCATGCACAATCCACTAACTTTCACCTTGGTGATGGAATCAAATCTTTCCATTCACCGAATATGTTCAACAACAGCTTTGTGCCACTGCAATAACTAATAGGAAATCAGGGAAGAGGGTTGCCTCGGGCCACAGAAACCATTTGGCATTTCTGCCAGGCCTTCTCTATTTCTATGAGTTGAATAAACGGTTTCCTTGATCGGATCCATGGCTGGATTTGAGTGTTTACCATGAATCCCTAAGCCAACAATGCTTGGCAAGAGGTAGGAACTACTGAAGAAAAACACTGGGCGTGAACAGCCAGGGCGCACCTCAAGAATGCCCGGTTCACCAGGTATTTGATCCCTAGAGGATTGTCGAGCCGAGTTATCATGAATCACCACAACCCGGATTGGTTCTGCATCTAATCAACCAATCAATATGTTCAAGAACCTCAAAAACCAAAAACGCCGAGTCTAACTTGGTTTTAGCAAATTACGCCGAATGCCCTTTTTCAGGGCAAATTACGGGTAAAGGCGCTTTTTGCTGAGGTGGCAGAAATTTTGGTGCATTTGGAGTCTCTAGGTATAGTTCAAGTGTCAGGCATCAGGGATACGACCTGGATTTGCCTTGGCCACTGGTCTCAGATGCTTCAGTTTGGGGCACACTGGGTCACGAAGCATGTCCTTGGGCACACTTGTATACACTTGTGTGGTGATCCCTTTGGGGTTGATCTTCATTTACACCAATCCATGTTCATTCACATTTGCAAATCATGTTCGTACCTGGATCCCTGAGGTGGTATAAACCCTCGAGCGGACATGACCCGAACAAGAAACTGGCACTTTCCCGGGGCCCAGGTCGACTATGAAGGAATTCACAGGTGGACTCGTAGCTGCGAATTCGCTCGTCCAAACGAACTGTGGCTGCGAATTCGCTTCCGCGTCGCTCCTTTGCGGGTCTGTGACGGAGGTCTTGTGGCCTATGGCGTCTTTGGTGCACTGCAGGTGCTGACGCGCTTGTACTGGGGTTGGAGAACTTCTTCTCGCATGAGGCAGATGTTGAAGGATATGCCCGTGCCTGGGCTGGACAAAAAGGCACGCAACAGAACCCCTAGAGCTGGGCAGAGCAAGATGGGAGGCGTTCTTCCATTCCTACAATGATTTCGGACATGCCTTCGAGAATGACCAGTGGGACATGTTTGAAGTCACCTCCAGATTTTCTAACAGATGTGTCGTTTCATTTTTGGTCTTGCGAGGTTTTGATGTCAATTCTAGGTTGCAGGATGGTGGATTCCTTTTCAGCACCTCGAATTTGGTTCTTGCCCTTGCTCTACCAGCATCTTTCGGAAACAAAGTCATACTGATCATGATGCGTCACACCGTTTTGGATAGTCCACTCTCCTGTAGCTGTGGCTTGCTATTCCCCAAAAAGCCCTGCTGTAGCTGTGAATGTAATTATATCTCCATTGGGGTGGTTGAAACGAGGTCAGTCGTAGGCATCTATGTGTCCCAAGGAGTGGTTGGTTACCTGGATCTACCTGGGATTCCCTTCAATCGACCCATGCTTTTCTCACTTCCTTCCAGGCGACCAACGGGAAGGGCCATGATCAGCCCGCCGGTTGGATCGTGGACAACGTCGCCAACCTGGAACGGCGCCCCGGTTGTCCCAGCGCGGGCGAGTTCATCATGCTGAGGGTTGTGTGGATGTCTTTGGGAATGATAGCTTGGACCCTTCAGTTTCATACCCCTAGTGTGAATCTGGCTAGTTTCGTTGTTCGATTTCGTCTCTTGAAGCAT